TGGATTGAAGCCGTAGGAGTCGCGGATCAGAAAGCCGCTATGATAAGCAGAGTTGTGATGGAACATGTGGTGGCGAATCATGGTGTATCACAAGCCATCCTGACAGATCAAGGCCCGTGCTTTGAGAGTGATGAATTTCGCACGTGCTTACAGAAATTAGGCATCAAAAAGATACGCACAACGCCCTATCACCCACAAACCAACGGCCTCACGGAACGCAATAACAGAACAATCAAAGAATGGCTGGAAGTGAAAGGAGGGGATTGGTAGTCGGCCCTACCTTCCCTACTTTTGGCTTACCGCTAGATCACGCACGCCAGTACCAAACACACACCATTTCAACTGATGTTCGGAAGAATTCCGAAGCTGCCAGTGGATCTCGATGTTGTCATTTGGCCGCGAAACAATTTATCTCCGCAACAACTTCAACAGACAAGACGCGAAGCCCGGCATAACCTGAACACGGCGCAGGAGGATTTCAACGCATGAACGAAGACCGTCGTGTACATCGGAACGATCTCGCAACATGGCACGAGCGAAGGTACATCACACGCAATAAACGAACAAGAGCAATCCCAGAATTCAATAACACAACGTCGGACAGGACGCCACCAAACGTCGAAAATCACAGACAAACGCGAGCACAATCCAAGAAGCAGTCGTCAATTGATCAAGGCATGCAGAGTTCCCTTCCGCCGAAGGAGTTTTGTGAGATACTACTCACTAGTGAGTAATCGGTAACTCTCGGTGATTAAAAATAGAACAAGACCATCAAGGACCAAGTAACATGTTTTGGAAAAATAAACACTGTCTGCTCTACCCATCACTCTATGTGTCGCGATGGCATGATTCTGATACGTTTTTCGTGTTATGCATGCAAAATTCGTGACATCCAATCTGTATTGTGCAATAAAGAACTCTATTCGACCAGCACCGCCTTTTGGGAATATAACAATTGGTGCCGTCGCCAGGATCAGGATGAAGGTACCGTGACCAGTAGCCTTCGAGGATGGGGACGTTCAGATGTTCCTGGAGGATTTCGAGGATGTGGCGGAGCTGGTCGGAATACGGACGGATCGCGGCAATAATACGAATAGTACAACCACTATTACGACAAATACTACTAATACTACTTCCACTACTACTACTACTACTACCACTGCAATTAATACTACTGCTGCAACTACTAATATCACTCCCAATAGCAATACTATTACCAGTACTAACACTGGTAGCATCACTAACACTACTACTACTATTACCACTATAACTACTACTACTTTTACTAGAATTACTACAAACACTACTACTAATACTACTACTACTCCCAGCACCAACACCTCTACCACTGATACGACAAATACT